CTCCAAGTGCCTCCCTGGGTCGCCTTGCATCTGGCCAGCCCTCTTCCTGGAGTACACCTGCAAGCCTGGGGGTACTGTTGCCACCACCCAGGGTCTAGACTGTTCTTGGCCCTGTGCCCCCTGGGAAACACAGGCCTTGTAGTCCTAGAGGGTGCTCGATCTAGTGCTAGAACTTGGGGTGCTTTCTTTAGCCTGAAGCAAAAAAAGCAGAGCCTCCATTAGTCAGCTGGACCAAGGGGGCACCAAGGTATAACCCAGTCCCTCTCCCAATAAGTCTCCCATGCTGTGCTTGGAGGAGAACTTTTTTGGTACAGAAGGAAGGCTTGGGGTAGGATACAGGAAAGAGCAACATCAAAGAATAACCTTAGAGCAAACAGTGTGGCCTGGTAGCCATTGATTATGCGACTGCTGTACTGCAAGCTAGATATCAAGTGACCTCACCTTCCAGGTCCAATCAGGCAGGTGTTTCTGATGCCAACCAATCGGTTTAAAAAGCAATACTGGTCACCTGGTGGTGTTGGGCCCCTGCCCCCTTGCCATGGGGTAAGTTTCCCAAACAATAGGGGCTAGGGTAACCCAGGCAACCAGGTTGACAGACAGGCAAGAGAACTAGTCACATGACCCACAGAGGTGGGGAAACGGACTAAAGGAGGAGCAGGCTCTGCCTCCCTCGGGAATGCCTCCAGCTCAGGTTGCAACTCAGGGTTACCTGAAACAGGTGGAGGGAGGGCTGCCTGCCCATTGCAGTGACCACAACCAAACTGAGACAGGTGAAGAGACAATGGCAAGGAGAAACCTAACGAAGGGTCTGTTAATCAGGACTTGTGGTAGACATGATGTCTTTTATTAGACCAACAACATTTTGGCAAAAAAAGTGTGGGAAGATGCTGGGAGGGCATTCTGCCACACCCTCCTTGTGAAAGAGTTTTTCCTAATATCCAACCTCAACTTCCCTTGCTGTAGCTTGAGCCCCATTGCTCCTTGTCCTGTAATTTGCCCTCACTAGGAACAGTCCAGCTCTGTCCTCTTTGCAACCACCCTGCAGGGAGTTGAAGGCGCTTGCTGTTAAGTCCCACCTTGGTCTTCTCTTCCCTAGACTAAATAAGCCCAGTTCCCTCAGCCTCTCCTCACAAGTCATGTGCCTCAGCCCCTAACCATTTTTGTTGCCCTCTGCTGGACTTTCTCCAATTTGTCCACATCCTTTCTGTAGTGGGGGGCCCACAACTGGACACAGGACTCCAGATGTGGCCTCCCCAATACTGAATAGAAGGGAAGAATCACTGCCCTTGATCTGTTGGCAACACACCTACCAGTGCGGCCCAGGATGTTGTTAGCCTTCTTGGCAACAAGGGCACACTGCTGGCTCCTGTTTAGCTTCTTGTCCACCGTCACCCCCAGGTCCTTGTCTGCAGAGCTGCTGCCCAACCAGTCAGCCCCCACCCTGTACTGGTGCATGGGATTGCTCTGTCTGAAGTGCAGGACTTTGCACTGGTCCTTGTTGAACCTCATGAGATTTCATTTTGGTCCAGTCCTCCAATTTGTCTAGGTGTCTGTGAATCCTAGCCCTACCCTCCAGCGTATCTATTACTCCCCCCAGCCTGGCATCATCTGCAAACTTGCTGAGGTGCGCTCCATCCCATCTTCCAGGTTGTTGATGAAGATATACCTGAACTAATGTAGAAACCAACATCTCTCATGAAAACAAGTTAAAAAACTAGACCATGCACACTGTAACATTTCCTAGGCATGTTTAACCCAGGATACCCACAGCAGCAACATAAGAGCCTGTCCATGAGAAGGGATTCTTTGGGTATTTATGCATCACTTCCTATCTGCCTGGTTGCCACCTGGTCCTATCTAAGATTGGTCCTACCTTGGCTAGACAAAGCCTTGGCTGGGATGATGTAATTGGGGCTGGTCCTGCTTTGAGCAGAGGGTTGGACTAGATGTGACCTCCTGAGGTCCCTTCAACCCTCACTTTCTGTGATTCTATGTTGGCACAGCCTTCTTGAAGGACACTGTGCTTTTTGCTTAAGAGCCCCTTACTTCAGGTTGGAAAGGAATTTTTTAAAGATGAATTGATTTATGTACTCTTTAACTAAACAGGAGCCCCCATAAGGGGGTTTCTGATTCCAGTAAATTATCGTTGCCTTATGTACGCAAGCTTTGTGTACACAGAGTGTTTAGATGCATGCAAAATGGGGGTGGGGGGACCTCAACAGTGGATGTGACACATCCCTTAAAATTGCAAAATTCACCAAATCATAATGTCTCTAACCTCTCCTCTGACACCATTGCTGTCAGTGGCTGTTCTGAGAATAATCGAAGAACTCTTTATTAAATCCATGTTTTGAATTAGAGGCTTATAAATCTGTCTGGCAGACAGACTTATTCTCACATTTACTCCTGTTTGTTCTATAGTTCTTGTGAATGTTAACAAAAGTTCAGACAAGAGCTCAGGTCAAAGCGATTTGTCAGTATTTGAAAATATGCTTAAGGCTGTGATGAATTGGGAGCATCTCGTTTTCCAATCTAAAATAGATTTATGCATCCATCTTCAGTTTATACAATGTCAGGAGTATTTTATACTTCCCTCTTATATTTAAAGCCATATTCTTTGAAGCTTGATTAAGATAGCGCATATTGTGCATTTTTTTAATTTACTGTTTTCTCCATGATAACATTTGCACATGAGAATAGTATAAATTAATCATCCAGAGGGTGGCTACATGAACTGGAAAAACAAACTCTTCCAGGTTCACTGGCTTTGGCCTTTCCCATAGAAAGTATTCACTGACCTCCCCTCTTTCTCTCAACCTGCATACCTACCACTGTGCACGCAGATTCTGCTGAGCTTCACTATTTCATTTAGGTCCTCCGTGGTTTTTTTTAAAGAAAATTCCTTATCTGTTTAGATTCATGTCAAATATAAAATTCATATAATTAGTTTGAGACAGCCTTGCAATTGCCTCTTTGTTATTTTTAGATAAGGGCAAGAAA